GGTCGGCATTTGTGGTATTACTTTTTTTCACATATCGTGGCTTAATATTAACTGAACCAGTTACGTTATATCTTCTAACATTATTTGTCACACTGTACCGCGATAAGTCTAACAAAGTTGCAATTTCTGAGTTTGATTTCCCAGAATTAAAAAATTTAATTATCAGTAACCGAATTTTCTCACTAATAACCTTTCCTCTACCCATTTTGAAAACCTTAACTACCCAAAACTATTTTAAACGTATTCTGACAGCTGTGATTAATAAAAACAATTGTCATAGCTTTAATTTTTCACAGCCACCTATGCGTTATAGACTTATTTTGCATTGAAATGAAAATAGGTTGATATGCTGTAATTGCAACATGTGTTATTTTTATGCTGCAAATTTGATTAGGGAGTGATAAAGTTGGTATTTTCTACTATATATTATCAAAATATTCATTGTTGTGTGTATTTTAAACCTATAACACCATGCTACATATTTGTGTTTGATAAGAAAAAAACTAACTTTTCAATAGTTGGGCCAACTGAAGTGGGAAGGGCTCGTAGGTTGCATATTTTCTAATACAATGATATTTTTCAAGCAACTATCGCCATCTATAGGTCGGGTACTTCTGGGACCACCCTCGTACGTATACATGTGGTAGTTGTTCCGAGAGAAACGGTAGAATACTTGAATATCATCAGCATACAATTGACTTTGAACAGTGTTGAAGACTTTTAGCGATATCAAAAGTATATATGAGGAACAAGAGAGGCCCTAATATGGATCCCTGTGGAAAGCCGGAACAAATGGGTCTTTTTTGTGAATATTTGTTATATTGTTGTCGTTCACTTAGATAACAATCTATCTATTTCAGAGCTAAAACCTCAGATCCAATGTATTTACATTTAGAAATCAAAGGCTTATGATTCAGAATGTCAAAAACCCTACTAAATTCTAGTAAGACTAATGCGGTTGCTTCTTACTCATCCGCCGCTGATAGTACCTCATCACAAACACGCGCCAGAGCGGTAGTTGTGCGCTTTTCCGAAGACCGATTGGTTTTCAGGCAAAATGTTACATTCAAGTAAATACTCATTCAATTGCATGTAAACATATTTTACAAGAATTTTTGATAAAACGGGCAGCAGATCACTAGGTAGTTGAGGATTGAAAATCTTTATTGATGTTGCACCAATGCGCTCTCTTCCATTCCCGCGCAGACACAAGTTAATCATCTCAATGGTACTGCCATCAACACCACTAGAATTGGAAGTAATACTGCGAATAGCGTCTAATACTGAAGACCTAACGACAAGTCGAAACTAGAAATGTACGTCTTAGTTTAACTTATTTTGGCTATAATATTCGACAGTTTCTGAGCAAACGTCGATGCTTTTATGAAATATACTTGTAAAATATTTGTAGTTATTTATTTCACACACAATTAAAATTACAAATCTTTTTCGACCTTGGCACAGCAGAAAACTTGTGCCAAAATTTCATAACAAAATGAGCGCTGCTTTCCGAGGCCAAGAATTAGCGAACAGGCAAGTAGGCCGACAAAATAAGTGAAGAGGCAAGAAACAAATTATCTACTTTAAAAAAATCTTTCGCTGTTGGTGTGGAGAGTAAAACGGAGCACAAAAACTAAATTTTTTAGACGATGTTTTAATAACAAAATGAATGGATAAAAAAAAGGTGGATGCGCTACTGATTTCTAGCCTTGCATACATCTCCAGTAAGTGTATTTGGGACACGAAACTATTATCTATTATATATAGGGAATTATCATCAACACAGGTAATCCTGGATATGCCATTTCCTTCCATCTATAGTACAGGTACAACTGACAGCTTTGGCCTTCAATAATATAATCTCTTTAGCAGAAGTTACATCACATCAGAATCAAACCATGATTGCTCATGCGTCATGACGTTTTGGCAACACGTAATGCTTCTACGATTGGACATGAAGTGAACACAGCTAGTTCCAAGTTGTCCCCTTGGAAAACCTAGATAATGCCATAAAAAACCTACATAATGTAGAAAACCGACATAATGCCACTTTTCAAATTACGACTTTCCATACAGGTCTTCATTTTTGTGAATAAATATGCCTGTCTAAATGTTACGAACATTTCGTGAAGACCCTGTATAAAGCTCGCAGTCTAATCACTGAGAGCCTACAACATGAAGAGCAAGATAAAATGCTCGTAAACATTCAGGAACAAGTGGAGTAATAATGATAGTCTAATAGGTGTTTTAATTTTTTCCCTTCACATAGGTTACCCCTGTAAATTCCGATCTACTTTAGTCATATATACAACGCTAAGTGGGTTCCCACGAAATAAATTTGCTTTTACAGAAAAGCTGGGGTAGAGAATGACGTCGTTTATTTTGTTTTAGTGATGTGTTGAGGACACGTACACATAATTTCACGCATTGTCCTGAAATGAAGGAAGAATTTACACAATTCAATCAAAATGATATTGCTGCCAAGTGTGCTCGACTGTTTTAACTTTATTCCGTAATTTTGAAGATTCCGATGGTTCATAAATCGAGTAAGAGTAAAATGGAGCCAATTAATCTGTCTCCAGCAGGCCGAACCCTCAAAGACATGAGAAAAATCAGTATTTTGGAAGTAAAAAAAATGAATAGTTTGGAAGATTTTCTCTGACCGTGTCGTTGATATAAACAAAAATTTTCAATTGCTGTGTTGCTGTCAAATGAACATTGAAGAGATAGGGCGATGAGGGGTGCATAATTGAAAGATCGTTTGTCAGCAAGTGCCGGCGATCGAAAAAAAAAATAAACAGTGGGGGGATTTTTGGAATACTCCGTGGACCTGAGCGTCTAGGTCTAGGGAAAGGCATCGTAAAACATCCTAAATGAGTCAGAAAAATAAGCATTGCAGGAAAAAGAGTGATAGTGAGATACCCTGATTTGAATTTCCAATTATGTAATCATACAGATATAATAGGAGGAACTTGAAACGCTTGACATTTCTAGCGCCAAATTCGCGTAGAATTCGATATCTGCGCACCCGATTTGACCTGGAAATAACGTTTCTTCCAATGCACAGATTTGCAAGACTTCCAGCAATAATTTGCGTTATAGGACTTATTGGACAAAATCCGGATTCTCATATTTTTTTATATTTGGGATTATAGGAAGATACAAAGCGGGACATCGCATGGACTCTACAAGACAGCGATAAATAAACTTTTCATGTCAATTTATCTTCCATGACTGGCGTTTTCCCTCAATCTCTTTTCGGATGCTAAAGTCATTCCCATCTTAAAAAAGATATCTCCGCACGGTTTAAATAGTTACAGGCCAATTACTGTACGATCTAGCCTACAAAAGTTTTGGAGTATCCCTTCTTGAATAGATTACTTTACTTCCAAAATAAGTTCGACTTGCTGAGAGATAAGCAACATGGTTTCCAAGAGGGTAAATCAACAATGTCTGCCCTTTTGGAGTATTACAATTGTATTATTGAGAGCCTAAATGGCGGTAATTTAGTGTAATCAGTTAGACGAAAATACCCCTGGTTTGCGTACCCAATTTTGTGGGAAAACCTTTTATTCGACAACAAAGAATGAGAAAACGTGTTTTTTTGGATTCAATCGGAAATGTTGGCAGGAACAAAAACACTCTTTTTAGGTAGGTACCTATGAGACCTACAGAATGAGACCACACGTAAAAAGATCCATCCCACTGATATTAAAAAAGTTATGGCCAAAAACCGAGGCAAAATGCAGGTTTTGGCATTTGTTACTAATGCCACGATAATTTCACGCAGCAACTTGAAATTCTCCAAATCCATAGGCTGCATACTTCTAAATAACTACAACAAAATTGGAGTTGATTGGTCAAGTTGTTTTTGAGAATCTCTAATTGTTTATCACAAAACACCTGTTTTCTGTCCATCACTACCAGTTTATTCAGCAATATACAGGGCGTTTTATAGCAAAATACACGAGTTTACTTTGTCGACATAACCACAAGCCATTCCGAAAGATAATTGTTATTTTTATGCGCAAAATGAAGGGTTACGTTTTCTTTTTCTAAACAAATTCAAAAATTTCATGTTCATGAGTAAGAGGACAGATTCGCTACGATATTCGAAAAACATACGTTATTATACTAATTTTGAGACACAGCGGATGTGTGCATCACCTTTTGTTGCGAAGAAAAATTGTTTTTCAATATTTCTTCATACTCTTGTGGATACATATAGAGCTGACATTTATACACGACCACAGCCTCAAAGTTTCTAAAAAAATATTTCATACTGAAATGCGCTGAACTGTTTATTAAGTTAGCACACAACCTGAAGACACAATTGTTTCAAAATGGTCTTAGACTAGTTAGTACCTATGTAGCATGTGCTAATTGGCTGCAATATTGATGACTGCGAGACTTTGTCAAATAAGTAGGTCGCGTAATCCAGTTTCTTTACGAAGAAATATAATTCCCTGGACCTTTTTTCTAAAACTACTAATATAGTATACGTCTGTTTTCGAAATCTTGTACGATCAAAACGACTGCGCGTTCAAAATGTTGGGAAATGAACTCGAGAAAACGAAAAAATAGTAGACAAATATCTACCAATTACCAAACCTGTAGTCAGCTGCAGCCAAAATTGAAATATTTCATAACTGGGTCTGTTATAAGTTTCTTAAGAAATGTTTTGAAAAGTGACTATTTCATTTCTAAAAAATGACCCTTTTATTTCTCATCGAGTGGAAGGGTTATTTTTTAATTTTGCGCTTACAGTGATATATTATTACCTGGCACAGGCGAACGCTACACGCTCAATAATTATCGCGATACTTGGATCACGATCCAATATCGTGATATCTATTGATTGTGTAGAGTGATATATTGATCCGTATCGTAGGATTTCTAGAAATCTTGAAATCCGTGTTCAATCCATGGATCACGCGATATCTATTGAACGTTTAGTTTCACCGTAATATATATCACGTAATATATATGATTGAGACTTTTTTATTACTTACCTTAATATAGTCGCGAAGAACATAATATCAATGCTTCACAGGTATCCATGACTGCTTGGCTTACTGACTCTTTGGACATTATCCCTGCAAACCTTATATCTTTAAAATTTCTTCCTGTTGCCAGATAATGCAATGTCAGTGGGAATTTTTCTCTTACCGAAATTGCACTTCTCATTATTGTATGCTTTTTGGACAAAAATGGTGTAACTAATTCAAGAAGCTTTTCAAAACAGTTATCAGACATGCGGAAAAAATTTTGATAATCGTCCATTTCGAATTGCATTCAATAAATTAAGATGCGTGAATTTGTCCTGATCTTGAAGCCATTTCTTTATCCACCTCTTTCTTTTCACTTGTCGTTTTAACGAAAATGCCAGTAAAATAGCTACACTCGCTTTAATCTGATTTTCTGTCTCCATTTTTAAAACAGCTTTCACAAAAATTATGAAAATATGGTCAAGATAAATATTGTACGTCTGGAGTCTATTGTGATCCATCAGTAAATATCGTGGTATCGTGATCCAAGTATCGCGATAAACATTGAACGTGTAGCGTTCGCCATATAATGTTCAGTGAATAAATATCTTCGTGGTATGAATCAGCTTCTATGAATGCTTATAACCATAAACTTTCACAATACTGTACATTTTTTTTATTTGACGACATATTTATTTTCTTCATGATAATATCGTGGAAGAAATGTTTTCATATAAGATAGCTATTTTGTTAGTGCATCACTTCATAATCCTATTGCAAGTGAGAGAATATTGCTTATCAAAAATTTGAGTACAATGCGTTGGCCTTCTCGATTGGACCCTGTAGAAGCTATATTACAAAACTTTGAACGTATTATCAATTGCATAGAAGATGAAATTTCAAGAGTGGGAGCTTCTGGCGAAGATATAATGAATGCAAGATCTCTCCTTTCCTCCATGAACTGGACCTTTTTCCTCAATTTGTTATGGTGGCATTCAGTATTGAGCGTAATGAATACTGTGCAAAAGAAAGAGACTTGATGATGGCTTAAAAGTTGCATTTCAGCACCATTAAAAAAATTAGAAGAATTGAGGAGCGAAAGCATATACGATAATTTTGTACTGAACGCTAAGAATAAATGGGAAGAGATGGAATGGGAAAATCCTGGTTTCCCATTGGCAGAAAGAGAAAAATCAAAAAAATGCTCAACGAAAAAGCTGCTGACTCGCCAATGGAAACATACGAATAACACACGAATGAATTACTACGAAGTTGTGGATTCAATGAGTAACGAATTGCAAGAACGTACTGAAGGATTTCGTGAAGTGAATGATGTGTTTGGTTTTTTGATGGCAGAGAAATTAGTCAATCTAAAAGAAAACGAATTAGAAACCAGCGTCACTAATTTGATGGAAAAATATTCGGAATTTTTCACTACGGATCTAAAATATGAATTAGCCAGTTTTACGAGCATGTATTTTTCAGAAAATCGTAGTTTTACTAATGACAACCCGCTAGATTCTTTGAAGTTCATGATTGCAAACAATTTTATAGACAGTTTTCCAGAGAGCTGCATGTTATTCAGATTGTTTATGACTTTGCCTAGTGCTGAAACGTGTCATGAGTTTAGAAAATTATTAAATAATACCGTCGAGCTTCTTTGGCTGAAGACACACTCAACAACTTCTCTATCCTCTATATCGAAAGATCAGTAGCTAATACACTCAATTTGGATTCTGTGATGGAAGTTTCTGCTGAACGAAAAGCAAGACGCGGATTCAAATTAGAATAATTCTGTTATTTTGTATTGAATAGAAAATGTTTGATCTCACAGTCTCTACTTGATTCAGGTTATATAGACATATAGTAAAAAACAGAGGTAACAGTGCGCAGCAGCTACTATTGGGCATATAATTGTAAGCCCCTGTTAATATGTGACATCCTTATTGCCAGTAAAATTTGTAGTTCGAACTTTATCTGAACAATTTAGATGGATTTTACGTTATCGAAAAATTTTAGATCCGCGTGAATATTGAAACAGTTGAAACAGCTGTTTTATTGGCACGTTGAAGCAGCATCAGATTAACTTTTGCACTATCCATCAGCTTGTTTCCGTTACTTGTGCAGGCCTTTCTAATTTTTTTATTCTGAGTTGCCGTCATTAATTTGCAAAAAGCGATAAATGTGGAGAATATCACTTTCGTAAATAGTGTATATATAGTATATAACCTGTAGTAATGCACGTTATTTAACGTATTTTAGTGTTGTTCACCAAGTTTGTATTCAATGAAACATTGATCACGTCAAGCATGACAACAACTATCGATCATATTTGTTTTTTTTCTTAATTATAATTTTATGCAAATAGCGTGCACTCCAAATTTGACTCGACGCCTTTTACTTATCGGTAGCATGCGTGATAACTTTTAAACTCTATTATGCACAAGAAGTTTGCTGGTGAATCATCAAGTTTAATTTACTTACTTACTAACTCCAAAACATCACCCAAGTTTATTTGCTGCCTTTATTGCTCTCCCTCGGACCATAACTGGGATGACCTACTCGAATACCTCGCCGTCCAGATCTACTTCCTGAACATCAATCATCCCGCTTCAGAGGTAATTCTTCTCGGTGATTTCAATGCCCATAACGAGCTTTGGTTGGGCTCAAACAAGACCGACGCAGCAGGTCGTGCAGTCGAAGCGTTCGCTCTTACCCAAGGGCTGACTCAGCTGGTGACGAGTCCTACTTTTTTCCCCCGCGTCTCGTCACACGCCAGTAGCCTGCTGGATCTCTTTCTGACCACGCATCCTGCCCCTTACAGCACTGCTGACCTGTCCCCCCTGGGTAACTCAGACCACGGTGTTGTGGAGGTTAGGTTTCAGTCAGAACCCGCTGTGGCGTACAGGCTGCAAAACTTGGCATTACGAACATGACGACTGGGAGGGGCTCAGAGATTTCTTCTCTAGCTTTCCTTGGAAAGATGCCTGTTTCACTGACGCGGATGCGTCGGCTGTCTGTTCTTCGATAACCGACATTATCCACGTTGGAATGGAGGAATACATCCCTCACACAGTGAAAGTGTCTAGTCCAGGGTACAATGGCTGGTTTAACAAATCGTGTGACGCTGCTCGCCAGCAGAAGATCAAGGCACACAGAACCTTCTTACAAAACGCTACTGTAGAGAACAGACAAGCTGACGTTGAGTCCAGAAACAAATATGAAGTAGCGGTTCGCAATGCCAAAACCCAGCACGATATAAAAGTTAAGCATAGGGTAATGTCGCAGCGCCACGGCAGTCGGTCTTTCTGGACACTGGCCAAGCAGATTAAAAAGAACTTCTCACACAGTAGCCTTCCACCACTCATGTGTCAGGATGGAACTATTGTATTCAACTCAAAGGCCAAGACGGAAGTGCTAGCCAAGATCTTTGCTGCCAACTCCACCATGGACGACCCCCCAACGCCCAAGTACCGTCAATTCAAAGGGTTTCCTACACTATGCGGGAGGTAACATTCAGGCCTAAGACCGTAAGACGAGTGCTCTTGTCGCTCGACATCAACAAAGCTTCTGGTCCGGACTTGATTCCTGCCATTGTACTGAAGAAGTGTGCACCGGAGCTTGCTCCAGTTCTTTCGCGTCTCTTCCAGATATCTTATGAATCCGGCACCTTCCCAGAAAACTGGAAATTTGCTCATGTCCAACCCATCCCAAAAAATGGATCTAAGTCCGACCCTTACAACTACAGGCCTATAGCTCTGCTTTCTGTTTTAAGTAAGGTGATGGAGAGGTGCATAAATCGCGAGCTTCTGGACTACCTCGAACGTCACGGCTTGATTAGCGACAGGCAGTATGGTTTCCGGCATCAACGATCCACAGGGGACCTCCTAGCTTACGTCACTCAATTGTGGAGTAAACTCATCCAGTCTTATGGTGAGGCTCATGTCGTTGCTCTTGACATCACAAAAGTGTTCGATCAGCTGTGGCACGCTGCCCTCTTAAGCAAACTTCCATCCTATGGCCTCCGAGAAAAGCTTTGCAGATGGGTGGCTAACTTTATCTCTGGCCGCAAGATATCCGTCGTAATTGACGGGTTCTCCCCTTCATCCCACAACGTCAACGCGGGTGTTCCCCAGGGATCGGTCTTGGCTCCGACACTGTTTATCTTACATATCAACGACCTCCTTTCCTGCACGATCAACCCAATCCACAGCTTCGCTGACGACAGCACTCTACATGCAGGAATTCAGAGTGACAAGCCGATCTCTGCCGCTGAGTTGGAAAAAAGAAGACTAGCGATGACTTCCTCTCTGACACCGAGGACCTGATCTGGCACGAACAAATCTCGTCAATAGCTGCAGCTGCTGGAAAAAAGCTAGGCTATTTGTTTAGGGCTAAGAAGTACTTTTCTCCGCATGACCTTCTCACTCTATACAAGGCCCAGATAAGACCTAGCCTCGAGTATTGCTCGCACGTTAGGGGTGCTGCCACCCCGACTACATTATCCATGCTCGATGCTGTCCAGAGGATGGCGGTCCGACTGATCGATGACTCTTCTCTAACAGACAGTCTCGGGACTCTTTCGCACCGGCGGGCTGTCGACGATCTGGCTCTTTTCTACCGTTACACCAACGGGCTTTGCTCCTCGGAGCTCTCTTCCATGATGCCGTCGCGCGATGTGCCTGCCAGACAGACCCGCCTAACTTTGGCGTCCCATCCTAACCGTGTCGAACTTCGTACATCCAGAACCGGCCGATACGACCGCTCCTTTGTCCCGAGGGTGTCGAGATTGTGGAATAATCTACAAGAGGGGGCTTTTCCCAGTTCTATTAACCTTACGCAGTTCAAAAATCGTATTAATAAAATTTCTTTGGGATCATCATAGCAGCCGCGGTGTTCCGGCATTTGGGCTTCTGCCTGCGCGGCTGCTTCGATATAAAAAAAAAACTTCAAAAAATTACGATGCGCATTATGACCTGTCCCGTGCCCGTGCGCACTATTAAATGCAAAAACCAGGCTGATGTACAATTGCACTAACATGACATTACGCATTAAATTTTGATATTAATTTCTGAGTTATCATTCAACTTTCAAAGTTTCCATTGCCGTATTTTATTTGACAATAATTGCAGTAATTTATTTTATTCGCAAAACAGTTATAGTGCGCACTGTTTGCCGTCTGTCCCCGATTATACCACTGCCGGTGGTATCCCATGCTACAGACGTTATAGTCTATTCAGGTTGACCTCTATCCATTGGCATAGCGCGGCTAGAACCCCCTTGTGGTGGAACGCAGTGCCCTGGAATTTAAGCTTCTGCCTGCGCGGCTGCTTCAGTATAGAAGAAAATATTCAAAGATGTTTCCAGTACTGTACTTCACTTTACTTAGACGGTCATTTTAAGTGTGCTTCAAAAAATAGGAAACTTCCTCCTTGAATTGAATACGTCCCAAAATAAATCATTCCAACTGAGATTTACATTAGAACTGAAATCAGAGACAGTTATAAATCCTATGCAGCGCGTCAATCTAACTTATACAAAAAATGCGACGGCTGTAGCACCCCAAACTCGTAAATCACAGTAAA